AACGAAATGAAATACTCGACACAATCCATAGGTTCGCCTAACTGTCGGCCAAAGACTTGTAATTTGAGTTCAAGAATATTCTGCAGATTTTGCGGGCAGTACTCCATCTGAATGTAGTGATGGTTGTCATGAGTCCACAAATCACAACACTTTACGACATATTTTGAGCGAACATTTACTAAGCACTCAATTTCACGAATTAATTTTTGTCTCTCATTCCCAATAAAATCTATGATGAAATGCTTATTAATTAATTATATTCACATATTTACTATATTATGAGATGATATGCATAAGAATGTGATATGAATTTGTGAACACAAACTGCAAAATAGTCTGTACTACAGGTACCGGCAGTCATCATAAGTTAATACAGCAATAATTAAAATAAAAACAAAAAATTTAGTAAAATATAATAAAATATAACTTTATTTCTGTTTTAATTATTGCTGTATTAACTGTCAATATCTGACTCTACCTGTAGTACAGAATATCTTACAGTTTGTGTTCACAAATTCATATCACATTCTTATGTATATTATCTCATATATAGTTAGTTTGATATACATTTCATATCTATTGCTTTAATAGCAAATAATTGCTCATCGTGTTTATCCCTCGCTTTGAATACTTTGCCAAAACCACCTGGCTGCCCAACTTGTGTCCAGTGGTTTTGTAGGCTTATATGAGCAAAAGTTAACTTTATATCTAATTGTATTTGCTCACCTAGATGAAATACAGAATATAGTCAACATAGTTAATTAATTAGCAGTAAACATTCAATATGGTTAGCATGCTAAATTCTTACTATTATTCTCGGACGGGTAGACTAACGTAACTGTTGTACGTTCATTGAGATCCAAATAGCCAGGACTATTCGTTATAGTTGTGGTAAAGTGAGCTTGGTGATAGGTTACCTGGCACGTTTTTGCGTAATATTCTCTAAACGTGGTAACGTTGGTGTCTCTCAACGTTGCATTTGCCAACACCTCATGTATGGTATCATTCATACGGATTGTGACCACATTTGACGGGTTATTACCGGCGGACAACTGTTGAACGCCTGTCGCTATCTGTTTGGGTATTATCTCATAGTTCTCGTCACACTTTCCGCTGAAATACAGTCGACCGGTATTTGAGAGATAGTATGTCACGACCGCTGAGGAGGCTATGGACTGGATGTCCGCCACCGCGAGGGTCGCAATCAATTGCGGGGTCAGTACACGATCGCCGGACAACTTGTGTCCCAATTGTTGGCCACTATTGTCGCCCCAACTGAAAACCTGTCCCGCGGGGCTGATCCCAAATGAGCGCCAATTATAGCAATAAATGGATTTGATTTTCGCGTTATTCGGGAACCGTATGAGTAGTGGCGCGTAAACAGGTTGAGCACCGGTATCACCGTAACCTACCTGTCCCTCACGGTTACGGCCCCAGCCGTACACCTGTCCGTCGTGTGTGAGGGCCAGCGAGTGCTGGGAACCGGCGCTCACTTGACGGACATCCAGATCGTCGAAAAACGCCATCACCTCTGGCTTATGGCAAACACCGGTAGCCGTCACCACCACGCGGCGACCCAACTGTCCCTCGCTATGGGCGCCCCAACTGTACATACGGTGGCCATCCGTGAGCGCCAACGCAAAGTCCCATCCGTTGACAAACTGGTGAACACTTGTGCGACACAACTCTGGTATGAGTGCCCGCGTGTCGAGCGGGCGGTCGTGACCCGCGCCCAGACATCCGCCGCCATTACCGCCCAAACCGTACACTAAGTCGTCGTTCGTCGCAAACAATATGTTTTTCTCATTCATTGAATCGTCGAAAATGTGGTATAATTTAACGCAACGGATGAGTCGCCGGCAGATATTAAGAGTGATATTATATGAGTATAATTGTAGTAAAGTGTCGCACGTGTAGCACGCGGTCATTGTGCCTGGTTATATTGGCTACGATCACCTCACCTTGGTCATATTCTGATTAGTTTACTTATAGACTATAAGTTATAGTAAAGTATTAGTCGCGTTTTTATATTATATCAACGTATAAGCATACATTATAAATAAACTTCCCTACTACTGTAGGTTAAAATAAAATGCGCTATGTTCATTTTAGCATGATAAATTATTTATGCCCTAGTTGGTGTTTTATTAATTTTACGTGTTTCATGTGATTACGATCCTGGTGTGATAAATGAATTAGCTAATATTAGTAATATTATTAATTTGTGCTTAACAAAAGTAAACATGAACAAACTTTTATTTTAAAAACTTTTTTCAACATGTTTTGGGTACACTTTATGGGCAACTGTTATAGACATTTAGCGCACATTTCAACGCATTTTAATGCATTGTCTAGTTGTGCAAAACAATTGTAAATACCAGTAGATTATTATGATTGTGCCTAGCACCCTCAAGTGACTCACGTTATTACTAGCCCTAAATATAATTCTAACACTAAGTACTAAAACTAAACAAATTCATTTATAAATGTACAAATTAATTATGTTAGTAGCATAATATCATTGCTGAATTTCTATAAAAATTAACTTATAAATTATAATATATTGTATATTTACTTTGAGTATTATAGGGAACTACACATATACGTTAGATAGAGTTACTAGACTGCATATTAATATGGAAATTAGTACTATATATTGTATTAACTTGTATCAAACATTTTAGTAATAAATTTTATTAAATAAATAATATTAGATTAAAAATATATTTACTCAGAAAATGAATTTCCATTAATTAAAGTGCTAAAAATATTTAAACTCATACTGTAGTAGATATTGTATATAAAATACTAAATTATATAAAACATAAAAGTAACATACTTATCTTAATAATAAATAGCTACTACATAAATATCTCACATAAATATTACTGTTAGAAAAATTATTACTTTTTATTTTTATAAAGTTTATAGACAGAAATTTTAAATTAAATTCAAATAATGTGACACTTGTTTGAAAAATGAGTTATCATTGGATTGAAGTCTACGTAATGTTCGCCGAAATCGGGGATCATTTGCGAGAATATTCCTATCGATAGACCACTCGTTATATTCAGACAACACTTCACTGCATTCCGGCCTTTCATTCCACTGCAGGTTCACCATTGAGTTCAATGTGCCCTTCAGTTTGAGTACCGGTGCGTTTAGGACTGTTATGTTTTCACTATAAGACGGTAAGCTATTTTAGGTAAAATAAAAAAATAAATTATTAATAAAAAATTTTGTGCATTATACAAAATTAATTATACTTTGGTAAACCGAGGTTAAATATGTCAAAATCAAATATTTTGCCCCCAATTAGCGCCAAAGCATAGACATCGCACTTATGGTTATATTTCTGGCCCTGAGTTACTTCCGGTGCGATGTATCTCAAGTCCCCGATATCTGCCGTATGCTGTCGTGTCGTTCGGTAGTGAACACGTCTGTCGTGAACAGTAGCCAAACCAAAGTCACATAACTTAACAAATCTACCGTTAATTACATTTTCGGTAATTAATATGTTTTCGGGTTTGAGGTCTCTGTGAATGATCTGTGGATTCAATTCGTGTAAGTATTTAACACTTTCTAAGATCTGTATCAGTATTTCACACGATATGAAATACTCGACACAATCCATGGCTTTTCCTAACTGTCGACCAAATTCTTGTGGTTTCACTTCAAGAATATTCTGCAGATTCTGTGAACATAACTCCATTTGAATGTATAGTACACTCCCTTCAAGCCACGAGTTGTAATACTGGACCACATATACTGACCGGACTTTTACTAAAACTTTCATTTCTCTAAAAGCTTTTTGTTTTTGAGTTTCAGTGAAATCTATAGTAAAAGTATTAATAGTTTAATAATTTTGTATTAAAATTTTCATAACATATACCGTTTAATTCAACAATCTTTACGGCATACCTGTGTTTATCGATTTTATGCCTAACTTTATATACTTTCCCAAACCCTCCAGAACCAACTAATACCGGGTTTTTGAATAAAATCGCATAACTATTACTCTCTGGTAATGAGTTCCCGCTTTTTGTGGAAACTGTTTAAACAGAATTTACTTTTAAATAAAAATATTCCCAAACCCTCCAGAACCAACTAATACCGGGTTTTTGAATAAAATCGCATAACTATTACTCTCTGGTAATGAGTTCCCGCTTTTTGTGGAAACTGTTTAAACAGAATTTACTTTTAAATAAAAATACGTTTAATTTTAAATTTAAAAACTATTTAATACTTACCACTACTTGTGGACGAGTGGTCACTACTTCTGGACATTGTATTTGATTTTGACTTAACATGTGATCTCTGGATCACTTCAATCGACTCGTCACTAGACGTATCCGACTCTCGATGACTACTATTGTCTGTATTAAGTGGCAGTAAATACGTGTTATTATACGTTATTTGCAGTAATTTCGCGTAAAAATCCTCGATATCCCGGTAACCATCGCGAAGTAAAATCTGATTATCCGGTAGTATTTGATAGATACTATCATTTTTACGAATAGCCACCACATCCTTGTAGTGATTGTCCATGCTCAAACACTGCACATTTACCGCCAACTGTCGCGGCGTGTCGATCACCTCCTGGGATACCTTTCCGCACACATACAGTTCACCGGTGTTTGTCAGGAAAAATGTCTTGAAACCTGACCCTGTTACTATTGCCACATCGCTTAACGTCGATATCAATCGCGGACTAACCACGTGGTGTTCACCACCCGTATTGTATCCCAAGTGATTGTTACCATTATTACCCCAACTGTACACTAAACCCGTTATACTTATGGCAAACGAGTAAAATCGACATGCGTATATTGATTTTATTTTTATATCACCAGGCAACTTGGACAGTATAGGCTGTATAACATGTTTACGGTTATCACCGCACCCTACCTGACCCATGCTATTGCCGCCCCAACCATATACCTGTCCATCGGTGGTGAGCGCCAGCGAGTGATAGTAACCGCAACTGATTTTCGATATATTTATGGCATTAAAATACGCGATGTTTTGTGGTCTCATGAAAAGTACTTCAGTGACCGCTCGACCTAACTGTCCCTCGGCATTGCGACCCCAACTGAACACGTGGTTGTCCTCATTGATAGCCAGCACAAAGTTAAACCCGTTTGCAAAGTTTCTGACCCTACGGTCCCATAGCTCTTGGATCTCGCGCTGACTCGTGACGGGCTGGTTGTGACCCAACCCCAGCTGACCCTCGCTATTAACGCCCAAACCGTACAACTTGTCATCGGTGGTCACGAATAGTATGTTACCGCTTATGGGAGTATTTTTTAAGTCGTCAAAAACGTGGAAATATTTAACTTGCTGCTTTAAGTCCGGTTGAATATAATCGCTTATTTTAAACGTATCGAAAGTTGGGGACATTTTTGTTGTTGCTGGATTAATTATTGTACAATCACAATTAAATTGTATTGAATGACAAAATGTAGTATGTCATAACACATGTGCAATGTTTATTATGGTTAGGCGTTAACAGTGTGTTACGTGACTGAGAGTTCATATAAATTTATCAGATGTTTAGATTCAAGGTCATTGCCGTAATTGAGATTACGTAAATGTTTGTTTAAGAAATATGTTATGCTACAATAATGTTTGTTGGTATGATTTACATAACAAATATATTTAATTAAACTATGTGCTAAAATACTAACTAAATTATAAAATTATTTTTTCTAACATTTATACAAGTAAATTTTTCTGTTATAATTAATTTAATACAATATTAAATACTGTACATTATAATATCACTTTTATTATAATAGTCTAGATAATAATGTTGTAATTAATTAATTGATTATTAATTTAATAACTAATAAATTTATTATATTATGTTCATATCAAAAATTTAAATTGATTTACATTATATAATATACTGTATATCAGAGATTATACTGTACTGTAGTGTATGTCAAAACAAAATAAATTCTTTTTTGTACAGAATATTTATAAAAGTTTTTTATTTAATTATTTTCTTAATCATAAAGTATTAATTTTTTAAAAATATTAATAACATAACATATTTAAATTAACTTAAGCAATAAAATTATTTTTAAATTGAAAATGGTTTGTTAATATTATTATTACAACCAATACATAATGTTTATACAGTAATAATAATAATTATTATACAATATAGCAAATGAATAAACTATTATAAATGTTTACTTTTTATTTTATAAACTAAATTTCATACTCGGCTAGGTTATTTCATCATTGTCACTATTTTTAATGAATGAAATATTTTCTAAAATAAAATATAATTAGAAACTCAATTCGATTTATAAAATAATGACAAAATTGCAATTTTATTACAAATTATGTTCACATAAATGAGGTAAGGATTGATAGAAAAACTGGTTATCATTGGATTGAAGTCTACTTAATGTGGACTCAAATTGCAAATCATTTTTAAAAGTAGTCCTATCAATGGACCACTCGTTATATTTAGACAATACTTGACGGCATTCCGGCCGTTCAGACCATAAGGGGGTCGACATCATTGAGAATAATATATTCCTTAATTTGTCCAACGGTGTGTTTGTCAAACTTTAATAATAAATAATTTTAAAAAATTAAAATCAAATATTTTAAATAGAATCACTTATTGAGATTACCTTTTACTTTCCTGGTTATATAAATCTAATTCAAATATATCGCCACCAATTAATGCCAAACTATAGATATCAGCCTTGTGTCCATATTTCCCGCCGTTACTAACTTCAGGTGCTTGGTACTTTATTGTGCCCACATCTGATGTGTGTTTTTTATATGTTGGGGAATTATAGCGTTTGTCGTGAACTGTAGCCAAACCAAAGTCACATAACTTAACAAACCTGCCGTTCCTTACATTTTCTGCAATTAATATGTTTTCTGGTTTGAGGTCTCTGTGAATGATCTGTGGATTCAATTCATGCAAATACTCAACACATTCTAAAATTTGACGGAATATTTCACACGAAAAGGAATACTCGGCACAATCCATGGCTTCTCCTAATTGTCGCCCAAATACTTGTGGTTTCACTTCAAGAATATTCTGAAAATTATTACAACACAACTCCATTTGAATGTAAAGCACATTCGCTTCAATCCATGAGTTGTAATACTGGACCACATATTCTGATCGGACTTTTACTAAAACTTTCATTTCTCTAAACGCCTTCTGTTTTTGACTTTCAGTGAAATCTATAATAAAAGTATTAAAAGTTTAATAATTTTGGATTAAAATTTTCATAACAAACATACCGTTTAATTCAACAATCTTTACGGCATACCTGTGTTTATCGATTTTATGTCTAACTTTATATACTTTCCCAAAACCTCCCGAACCCACTAATACCGGGTTTCTGAATAACATCGCGTAACTATTACTCTCTGGTAATGAGTTCCCGCTTATCGAGGAAACTGTTTAAAACAAAAACAACTTAAATAAAAATACTTTTAATTTTAAATTAACAAACTATTTAATACTTACCACTACTTCTGGACGAGTGGTCACTACTTCTGGACATTGTATTTGATTTTGACTTAACATATGATCTCTGGATCACTTCAATCGACTCGTCACTAGACGTATCCGACTCTCGATGACTACTATTGTCTGTATTAAGTGGCAGTAAATACGTGTTATTATACGTTATTTGCAGTAATTTCGCGTAAAAATCCTCGAAATCCTGGTAACCATCGCGACGTGAAATCTGATTATCCGGTAGTATTTGATAGATACTATCGTTTTTACGAATAGCCACCAGGTCCTTGTAGTGATTGTCTATGCTCAAACATTGCACATTTACCGCCAACTGTCGCGGCGTGTCGATCGCCTCCTGGGATACCTTTCCGCCGGAGTAATAACTCATTTCAGCATTTGGTTTATCTTGGTAGTGTGAATTATCGTGATTGAGCGTTGTTAAATTAATTGTGCCGTACGTTACTTGAAATTTATTAGCATAAAAATCTAAATGATTAATAAACTCCGTTTGTAAAATCTCATTTGTTTGTGATAGTTTGAATAATTTATTATTTTTTAAGATAGCTATTATAAAGCCATCTGAAAATACATCTTGAACATCGTCACATAGTACACTTGGAATAAAGCTATCCTTTTTGCATTGATACAATTGCCCGGTATATGAAAGGAAACATGTCATATTGTAAGATGACTTAATTGTTTTAATGTTTGATAATGTTGTTAATGTAGGCGACCAATAAGTATAGTCAGTTAACTGGGAGAATATGCTGGAGAATATTCGGATACGCCAATATCTTTCCCGAGGCTTGGCTAGTCCTAAAAGGGCGTCATTATTCAAACCCCAACTGTACACATGGCCGTCCTGTGTGATCGCAAATGAGCTCGTTAAGAAACAATAGATTGATTTTATATTTGTAGTTTTCGAGAAGTTTAATAAACGAGGCGTTTCTGAACCATTGTGTGCACCAACTCCAACCTGTCCACGTAAATTACTGCCCCACCCGTACACCTGCCCATTGGTGGTGAGCGCCAGAGAGTGTTGATAACCACAACATATTTGTGTCATATTCTTGTAAATCAATTGTGATATTACATCCGGTTTATGGTACACACCATTTGAAGTTATTTTACGGGCTAACTGTCCCTTGTCATTTTGACCCCAACTGTAAATATTCTTGGTGTTAGTCATGGCTAACATGAAGTCACGACCGTTATAAAAGTATTGAATACTTTTGTTACACAACTCTGGGATGAGTTGCGGGGCATTGACTGGCCTATTGTGACCCAATCCCAGACACCCGTATATATTACACCCCAAACCATACACGGAGTCATCATTTGTTATATAAATAATATTATAGCCATCTGAACCAAATAGTCGAAAAACGTAAAATATTATTATATTTTGTTTTACACTTTCGGGAATATTATTGCAAATTTTGAATTTATTCAAATGCGATGTCATTGTAGTAGCCATTGTAACAAACGCAATTAATTAAAAAATTTTATTAAAAATATGTGTTAACCACACCCAAAGAATTAAAATTATTCATACAGTCACTAAACATTTCATGAACACACATTTACAGTCGTATTAGGTTTCGTCAAAAGTTTTGCGAGGTAAATTTTGCAGCTTAAAAATTAAATTCTCAACAATTCTCAAAAATATTTTTGATACCTATATTGGTTGTTGAGAATTAAGTTTCAAAGTTTACCTCGCAAAACTTTTGACGAAACCTAATATATAACAACACATTAATTGCATTAGAGCTTCGACATTAATAACAAACCACGTAGTTAAAACGTTAATTAAGTCATAAACCAACACCCACGTTTAATTCTAGAAAATTATAATATGATTAAAATAATAAGATTAAATTAATATGATTTTAAAACGGCAATTATATTGGAATTATTATTTATATATTTCATGTTAATCAGATTATAATATAAAATTTTATATTCAACGTGGCATAGTACTGTATTTGTTTAAAAATATTTTTAGCTCACATAAATAGCTTTGTGAAACGTTTGGAGTCTAGCATTTAATGAGATGTATATTACAATAAATTTCATTTTAAAAATCTCAATGTCAATATGCGCAAAAACCAGTTGACACAAAATAAAAATGTTTAATTTGTATAATTTATAAGCAATACTATATCTGGTTCAATATATCGGATGATACCTGACTAATATAGGCTTATCTTTCGCTTCTTGCAAGCATTTTTGTTTACAACTAAATATTAATATCTTTTTAACTTAAACTCATAGACTTTATACACTAAAGATTTTGATATTTAGTCGTAAGCAAAAAATGCTTGCAAGAAGCGAAAGATAAGCCTATATTAGTCAGGAATCATCCGATATATTGAACCAGATATACTATTTTTTGGCATATATCCCATTATGAATTAAAGCTTAAAATAAGTTATATTTTGTTGTGAATATGTTTTTCTATGATGTCATATTTCTAATAAGTTTTATTAAAATTTATTTATCGAAACAAATATTATAATAAAAGTTTATTATAATTTACAAAAGCATTTTATCTACTGCATATTAACTATACAGTATTTTACAACCATATATCTGTAAACTTTAAATATTTAATTTAATCCCTTTATATATTATTTTTTACTAATATTAAGAATGACCTTATACTGTACTATACTCGATGTGATAATAATTTTGATTTTGTTATAATAATATTTAAAATAAAATTATCTGTTAGAATATTGATTAAATGATAACAAAATTAGTTTTTTCAACATCTATACAACAGGTTAATAGTTTGATTGCATTAAAATTAACATAGTATTAAATACATTATCATAGTGATTTTATTATAAATGATTAATATTACAGATTTTAACAGCAAAATATTTAATAACGTCAATAAAATATTTATATTTTTGAAATTTAATTTTACATAAACAATTCAATACAGTATATTTATAAGTTTGTTTATAAAACTATTTATTTATTTTAAAAATATTAATAAATTTATAAAATATTAACAACATATAAGATATGAATATTACACATAAAACTTGTATAAAACCTTTTAATAAATTAATTGAATATCTGTTTACTGGCAGTTGTGCTGACTTTTGGTGTATATTATATGACATAAACTCATAGAAAAACTGGTTGTCATTGGATTGAAGTCTACTTAATATTCCGTCAAATCGGGGATCATTTGCGAGAATATTCCTATCGATAGGCCACTCGTTATATTCAGACAATATTTCACTGCATTCCGGCCTTTGATGCCATTCAGGGGTTGACATCATTGTGCTTAATATGAGCTTCAATTTAGCTACCGGTGCTTCTAATGCACTATTCTTTATAGATTTTTTACTATTATAAAATAGATTAGCACACATTATCGGGAAATTATAAATACAATGCGAAAATTTGTATTTTTGTAATCCTAGATTAAATAGATCTAGTTCAAATAATTTGCCTGAAATTAGTGCTATACTATAAACATCGCATTTATTGTTATATATCTTGCCCTGAGATACTTCAGGTGCTATATATCGGAGGTCTCCCACATCTGCGGTATGTTTTTTAGATGATCGGCAATGAATGAGTTTTTCGTGAACAGTAGTCGAACCAAAATCACATAATTTAATAAATCTACCGTTCCTTACATTTTCTGCAATTAATATGTTTTCTGGTTTGAGGTCTCTGTGAATGATCTGTGGATTCAATTCATGCAAATACTGAACACTTTCTAAGATCTGACGGAATATTTCACACGAAAAGAAATACTCGACACAATCCATAGTTTCTCCCGATTGTCGACCAAATACTTGTCGTTTGAGTTTAAGAATATTCTTGAGATTCTGTGAACAATACTCCATTTGAATAAAGAGAGCATTCCTTTCGATCCATGAGTTGTAATACAGAACCACATATTCTGACCGCACTTTTGCTAAATTCCTTAATTCTTTAAGTTCTGGCCTTTGGTTTATTTCATTTAATTCTGTAATAAATATAAATATTACTTAAAAATATTTATACATTAATCAATAATACCCTCAAATTTAACTATTTTGATTGCATAAAACTCGTCATCGAATTTATGCCTAACTTTGTATACCGTTCCATAACTTCCCGCTCCTATGAGTGCTAACTCCACAAAGTTATTATAATTACCCGCATATAAAATGTCAACACTTATAGATACACCTAAGCAAAACAAATTAATTAATTTTAAAACAATAGTAATTATTAACACAATTAAAACAATAATAATATTTACCTGTCTCTAATACACTTTCATTTAAATTGTCAATTGAATTGTCCATGCTCAATTTGTTGATATTAATTGTACGGCTAGTCAATTGAGACTCATTTACGTAAAAGTCGACAAAATTATTAAACTTTGTTTCCATGAAATCATTAGACGCTAATAGTTTCATGATCATATTATTTTTAAATATAGCAATACATGTACTGTCAGTACAAATATCCTGAACATTATAGCACAGTATACGCGGGATATCCACATAATTATCGGTAAACTTCCCGAAATAATACAGTTTACCGGTGTTTAACAGAAAACATGTCATATATTTTGCTGAGCATATAGTCTTGATGTCAGTCAACCTGTTTAGCAAGGTCGGTGTCCAGTGAGTTTGCAAATAATTAGGCATATACTCGCCCATTACCCATGATTTAAATCTAACAACCGCAATCTGGTATGGCATAAACCTTTTTGACCTAGCTAAGCCCAGGTGGCAGTTATCATTACAACCCCAACCATATACCAGTCCCTCATATGTGATGCCAAATGAGCTCTTATTATAGCAATAAATAGATTTTATTATCACATTTTTAGGGATATCTGATAACCATGGTTTGCATGCAAACAGTGGTGAACTACCTAGTTCACCATACCCAACCTGTCCCACCCGTATACCTGTCCATTGGTGGTGAGGGCCAGAGAGTGTTGTGAACCGCAACTGATTTGCGTTTTATTTTTGTCATTCAAATATGTTATTAATCCTGTTTTATGGTAATAGTTAGTTCGGGTTACTTCTCGGGCTAACTGTCCCTCGTTATTGTGCCCCCAACTGAACACATGGTTGTCCTCATTGATAGTTGGTTGTCCTCTGGTATGAGTTGCGGGGTTGGGACGGGACTACGATTGTGAGCCAAACCTAGACACCCGTAAGAATTATAGCCCAAACCATACACTAAATCAGTGTCGGTCACGAAAATACAATTGCAACCATCTAGTTCAAAAGGTTCAGGAGCACTTTGCTTGAAAGCATATAATAACACTGTGTTGTTTATTAGTTTCGTGTATATTATCACAAAGTCTATACTTTTCTAACAATAGTATCAATTTATAAAAATATTAATTATATTTATATACTGCATTCATTTAAGTATTTATAGTACAGTAGTTATTTCAGGATAATTTATTTTTGAAATTCAATATTTGAATAAAATTCAATTATCTAAATAAGTACAGTAATACATTTTATTCATGTAAATATTTAATATCTCCAAGTATTATATAATAATTAAATATTATATAAGTAATATAACAATTTTTATTAAAACTTAATGTCATTTGTGCGTGTATTCTATACAATGCCATCATATTATTTAAAATAATATTATTATTTATATATGGTACTTATTTAAACAAGCTATTTCAGGTGTATTGTAAATTACATATTTACATTATTAAAATATATTCAAAATAAGACCACTACTGATACTTATTGTTTGGTAAAAATTAAAAGTTATAATTATTATTATCATGCTCATAATGCATTATCTCATATTATTAAAGTACCTAAACTAAACTATAAAGTCGGAATTAAAATCTATAATTACTTAAATATTTGGCATTATTTTAATATTATATTAAACTTTAAAAAACAATATGCGCGTTCATCCCAAGCAAACTGTATCCCGGATCATGATTACTAGAGTAATACCCGGGTCATTGTCTATCAGTAATGCCGACATAAACCGTAAACCATTAAATGCTCAAAAGAGGCGATGGTTTCACAAACTGATTGTTGTTTTGAAAGTAATTTTAAGACTATGTTTAATTCAATTGCTGTCGATACTAAAACCTCAAGAACATCGAGAGTCTTATCATTATTTGTCTGTTAAAAAATTAATACCCGGGTCATTGGCCATCACTCATGCCGGCACTCACTTGTATAGCATCGGTCTCTCAAACCATAAGCCATTCAATGCTCCGAAGAGGCGATGGTTTCACAAACCGATTGTTGTTTTTGTTTCACTTTTTTTGAATTATATTTTGAGGCAAATTATATTATTACTAATACCACAACAAAATCCTGAGTTTTACGCCATGGTTGGAGATGTCACCTATTTTTTTTGGTGATAATTGGATACTGACTTCCATTTCCTTCATAAGCATTACCATTATAGCCCTGTCCTCACAGTTACTAAACTTTTATAACTTCATGAATGGTATAAAACCGCGGGATTTGTGTGTATTTTGGATGCTTTCGGGTTTAATAACACCCATTAGTATTGGGATTCACGACAAACAAGTGGTCATCAAATTGCTTACATTCAGCAGAAAATGAATTAAATGGGCAGAAATTAGCATAATTATTGTAGCTGGTCTAATGCTCGTAACGTTTATATATATATATATATATATATATATAGACTTGGTGTAAAATCACCCGTGTTCACAATTGTAGTGTACCAAATTATTCACAGCATACTATGCGCACTTAACGGTCATTATATAAATTGCATAATAATCTGGCAATTAGTGTATTACGCGGTTATTGTATACTACTTATTGCTTAAAATTCAAATAATTAATCATAGTTTAAGTAAATTTGAGAAATGCACACAAAATGTGAATCAAATTATTCGTAAACTATACGATATATTCACAGAAATCGGCGATTATAACCGTATTTATTGGCAATACTTTTTGGCTATTTATTGGTTTCTCGTAACTATATTTATGGCATTTTTACTATACATTGTATTTTATTGGAATGTGATTATCATTGTAGGAGTGTGTGCTCTCCTGCTATTTATACAAACGCTAATGAGCTTGGTGTTTGTTATACATTATTCAGCGATCCTTTATAAGCAAAATAAAATTGGGTACAAATATATCAACAATTATTGCGTACGAAATACAGCTAATGTATCGTTGACTACAAAGTTAAAGGTATGCCATATATGATATTTTTTAACTTGTATCTAACACTGGTATAAACACTTAACTATATTATAAATCAAATCTCATTTACATTTAATGGCATTGATTGAGCGATTGGGTGGGAAAGGTATCGGATTTTACTGTTGGAAACTATTTCTCATTACAAGATTCAAAGGATATGAGGTTTGCATTGTGTTTGGTATTAAATTGTAAACAAATTTTAAATGCAATTTCTTTTATAGATTTTAAGTGCAATTGTGGTGCTATTCATGAAAATTATTATTATGTCTAGAAATAAATCGATATTTTAATTTGCGCTTATGTTTTTAATACCTGTCAATACTTTGTCTTATACCTTGGGTACTTTACTGTACAGTAGACTCAATACTGTGAATACATATAGCAAATAGGTTATTTTACAGTCTGAATTTTAAATGTTTTGATCTTTATTTAAAGGTACAAAAACAATTTAAGACTTGTTTAATACAATTTTTAATTGACTTGCTTTAATGATCATACAGTAGTAATATTATAATTATTTCTTATAAGGGTAAAAGGTTAGTAATATACTATATCATGTATTAACTAAATTAATTTTACAATAAAACTATATCCATTATATAATATTAAATATTATATAAATTTTCTTGATTTCAAAATAAGTCAATTAATATATCATTAAAATAATTTACTTTTTGAATTATAACACTTTACATTAAATGTAATTTACTTCCGATGTAACATTTTAAAAATACGGATACAGAGCACTGGTAGTCAAAAAGTATCGGCGACCGAGTGTTTGGTTCTCTAAGGGCTTCCACTGTATGGCCTCCTCTCCAATCGTCGCACAATTGGCGGCATTCGCGGCACAATTGGCGGGACACCCACCGCGCCGGTAGGTGTCGTAGTCCGAGCAAAGGTAGCCCACGCCCCTGGGATTAGTGCCACTAATAGTAGCCATGTAAAAATCAATGGCCCTTAAATGGTTGCACGCGGTTAAGCCGGATAAACCTAAAAATAAAAATATATAATATTAGCCTGGCTATATGTTTTTAGCTATTAGTATGTTTCTGTTAGGGAACCATGATCATTTTAATTTACTGATAAAATATTAATGTAACCCATTGTAGATTTTATGATTACCATGTGTGAGTATGTTAGGTAGTCTACCCAAAAGGCACCCTGGTTGATCGTGACCGCCATTAGGGAAAAAGTCCAAATGTCCCGAATTCTCCAGTGTTCCCAAACCCCCATTTTTGGTAGCATCCGAATGAATTACGTCCACAAATTGTCCCTGATTAGTGAATTCATTAAATTTATTTTATTAGATATATTAGCATGATAATTCCGTACATCAGTGTGATCGAGCCTATCCTTGGCACTTAAGCCGTCGAACTGAGGGCCTATTGATTTAGCAAGTTAAATTATTTGCAAAGTGTAAGTTCAATTTAAAAATTAGTTGACATGTACCCGCCGGGTCCAATCCCGTGATACGACCCACCAGTCCATTCAGTGCCTGTCCCGCAAAGCCTGAGATGTGGGCGCCTAATGAATGGCCCAATAAATGCACTTTAGATAAGCCGAGTCCCGACACTGACTAGTAATTCGTGTTTTATAAGAAAATAAATAAAATAATATTTTTAATTAATTAGTTTAATTTCTAAATAATATTTATCTTGCTTGCTTGTTCATTTTGTTAATAAATAAAAGTTTTCCATTTTAATATAAAAGCAAATATATATTTAAATTTATATCAAAGCAAATTAAATAGCTAATTCCCTATTTTTTATACAAAGGTCCTTGTTTATTTGTAGTTTTTACTTAAGTAAATAAAAATAATATTTATTTCCAAGAATTAACATTAATCAAACACATCAAGCTCAAATACAAATCCAATTTTTATATATAAATATTAATACCTTTAAGTCGTTAATCATCCTGGCAGTTAGATTTCCAACAACACGTGTATTTGCTATTGCCTGTATGTGTACAACATATATCAACTTGATTATAATTTCTTACATTTACATTCAAATAACATTTGTATTACAAAACTCTATAATAAATATAACTATTCACAATAATTATTTTTAAAAATAAATTGTGAAATAAAAGTGGAAAATTTTTTTAATTTATCAAAATAATCAAGGTTACTAGTAGAAACATAATGATTCACTAGATTAAATTACTTAATTAATTACTTAATTTAATCTGGCACCCATTCATTATGATATTTCTGTTAGTTTACTATATTACTAGTAAATTACATAGATCACGTTATGATTAAATTATTTCTAACAGGGTATGAGACCTTATAAAATAAATTATTTTGTTCCCGGCCAATTTTACAATACTTACTGAATTTTTAACAAAAATTGCATATAATGTTAAATAATGCTATTTTGTATTTAGTTCGACATAAATATTTATTAATTTATTATAATATATCTAACTTTAAATTAAAATATATAACTAACAAGGTCAACCTACAAAGACTTTAAAATTCTCATACCTGTTCGTACTGTCCATTAGCACCACCACTCCAGTCCACAATAAATACATTATAATCGCCCGCATCTAACCACAGGTCCTTTAAACGCAACATCCAGGGTCCTTGCTGCAAATTAGTGGCGTAGCCATGGATAATAAATTTGGTAGGCTTACCAGCGTCAAAATCTGAAAGTTTGATGCCATCCCGATCGCCCAGGGTGATCACCTGCTCCACCTTTGGTACATTACGCGTAAATAGTAGGAACCGGGTGTTAATCTGTTCAGGTTTTTGTGGGGCCGGTATTGTGGCTGTCCATAGTAGGTCGAACCAGCTAGCTGTTAGAATTATAAGCAAGGTGGTGATTTTTAGTGGGATCATTTTTATGATCAAATAGGTATTATGTAATATATATGTAACTTTATTTAAACACCAGAATATTCTATGTGTTTAAACAGTTTGTTCCACTATTTATATGAATGTTAATGATAATTTATCATGGTATTTAAAAACATATTTCTATTTTGATCAATAACAATTGGCGTATGCCTCTAACGATTAATATAATATTATTATGTAAATCAAAAATATCTAATTAATTATTAAACGTAATACATCCTGGTTTGTTATTTCAAAACAAGGCAATATCTCATAAAGATGTTGAAATATATTTAATTCAAAAATTTAAGTGAAGTTTAGTTTGTAAAATTTTATATTAAAACACCAAGGCACACTTATTTTAATTTAAAAAGTTTAATGACATTAATACTGTACCACTATTTGTACTTATATTATTATACAAATTACATAATAAAAACTTTTCAAATTAAATCTGTCAAAGTTATAATTACTGTTAAAATAATAATTATTACATTTGTACTATAATTGACATGGATGGCATGAATTAAAACACTAACATTTTATTTTATTTATTTTAAAAATGTTTATTTTTTAGATACATTATAATAAACAACGCTTAGTCACAATGTTTTAAAGCAATAATAATTTAGCAAAATGTAAAAATTAAAAAATTTGATAACTACAAACATTTCAATATTTCCAGTATAACTAATCTAGTATATTATGAATCATAAATAAATACCAAGGTTTTAACATATTACTCATTTAACCATAATTGCCACATGTGATAGAATTATCAAAGTGATTGATTATATATTTTTAATGCCATTTTCTATTACAAAATGTATTAATTTATTGAAATAAACCGATAATAAAGAGATAATTGGCGACAGATATGAGGATTAGTTGTGAGAACTCATAGGAATTGATGGGAAATAAGTCGAGACAATAGAAACCAATGACAGGACCCGACAGAAGGACCCGACAGTCGGCTAATCATTGACTCGATTCTCAATCTCTGTCTATAAGTCAGTGAATGTGTGGTTAGTATTGAACACAACAATGGATAGCATTTGTGAGCGCTTTTCGATACCATTGCCAGCAATGAGTTTAAAGAGAAAAGTAACAAAAACAATAAAATAAAGCCATAGATTGAATATAATTTAAACATTGGATTTGTCTTTCGATTATGCGATGAATGTAATAGTAACAGACCGTTTGGTATTAACATGAAATATATAAAGAAAAAAATTTTCGAGAAAAATTTATTCAACGAATGAGTGGTTCGTGTGATAGCGTTGTGTTCAACAATGGCTCGCATTAGCCGTCCGTTGAGTCCGTGTTTCGCATAAAACTCTATCCGACTATTGATTGCATCAAAACTGTACTTCAAATACAAGGCTATTACGAAGAACATACAGGCGCCGATACTTATTAAGGTATAAAATTGAATAAGGGTTATAATTGTAATAAATGCCCAAATTATAATAAATGAGTTTATAATATACAAAAAGATCAATCGATGAATAAAAATGAATGACTATTGATAAATAATTTTACATTGAAAGCAGAGTTTACTCATTCAAACTA